GAAAGAAAGAAAGGAAGAAAGGAAGAAAGAAAGAAGGAAAGGAAGAAAGAAATGTAACGCCCCCTCCCCTCCCCCACACAGTACCATTTTTCATGATATCGCGGGCTCATAACCCTCATTCAGGATATGATTCGAGGATTCGACGAAAAAATCCCCCGAATATTACCTCTTTTCACGGACAAAATGACACAATCCATCAAGAACATAAAACCATCGTCTCTATCCGCCTTTAACAAGGATTTGTGATCGTTATGGAGGGAATCAGGCGGTTGAACAACCATAGATTCGTTACTCTAGTGGGTGTTGTTGTCTTGTCACTGTTTTGGTATCAAATACAAGTCTACCTTGAACAAAAACAACACAAGGAATCTCTTCATCTCTGGCTCAAAAATAACGATCTAGATCGATATATTGACAAGATAAACAACGCTGGTATGGACAATAAATACTTTTAGATATATTTTCCTACATAATTTCATAATATTCTATTCTATTCGATGTATATACGTGCAGAAACATGTTATCACTTCCAGAGAAATATTTGACGACGTTATTCGTCGTTGGATCATTTCCAATGAATTATTTTTAAATGCATCCGAGGATCATTGAAATTAAACTTATGTTATATGAAAGATTTTGGAGTTAAGATTTGCAGCATCAGCTGATTTGCAAACGCTTTTAAAATCGTTCTTCGATTTGGATCATAAGTGACTTGTTTGGCAATCATTCCTAAGAGAATTCAGTAATAATGAAAGTGATATATGATTGCAAGTACTCTACTCTAAACCAAAACTGCTCTAAAACAAGCATTTAGAAGTAGTCATACTTCGATTTATTATATAATTAGGATAGATGCGTGCTCATTGGTCAAAAACTGTGCTTTATTAGTGAATGGAACACAGTGCTGATGCCATCCGTGTGCAGAGCGAAGTGCAGCTAGATCCTATGCATAAATAAATTCAATACCGAAATAAACTTAGTAACATGATAAAGTGAATAAAACAGCTTTTTCCGTGCTCCATTCAGTGGTAAAGCACTTAGGAAGCACTGTAAGCATGCAAGCGCCTACAGCTCGTGCTTCTCCTTGCACTTCTTTGGTGCTTATGTCACTTTCTTGGTGCTTTATTACTGAACGGAGAACATCAAAAGCTGTTTTATTTGTCAATTAGATGCCTGAAGTATATGTATATATATATWTTTTTTTTTTCTTCTTTTTATTTCCCTATTTTGTTTGTTTCAGGAGTGAAGTCACTACAAGAATTTGCAGAGCTTGATGTCAATAGATTCCTAGTCAGCCAGTTCCCAAGTCTACACCACAATGAATATTCAAAAGTACATGGAAAATTTACTAAATATGTCCAAAAAATGAAAAGTCAGTTGATATTATATTACTGGCTTGAAGAAAACAGTCTGGAACGATATTTTCCCACATTAATTAATTTAGGATTTGAAAGCATTGAAGATATTAAAGATAATATGAATGAAGAAATATTAAGAAAAGTGGCAAATTTAGATAATAGAATAGCTCAAGTTTCAAAGCTTAAAGATGCAATAGAGACACTAAAGCTGAGTCCTGACGAACGACGCCACAACAGCAGCTGGATAAAGTATATTTTTTATATTTTTCTACGCTTGTTGTCAGTTATTTGGTGGATCGTCAAGACAATAGGTAAATTATGGAGCATTCAAAATTGATACATTCATTTATTTATGTAATTATACAGCTTCTCATTAATCCCATATAGGTAACTGTCCAATTATTTTCTTAATTGGACAAGTCTTGTTGATATGGAATTAATTAGGCAGCTATATAATTAATAGGTAATGGGGTTTCATCCTCCCCAATCAAGAACTAATTAGATTGAAAAATTCCTCTGACTGCCAAATTGGACTCGGCCTACGGCCTCATTCAATTTTGGAAGTCCTCAGAATTTTCGTCGTCCAATATTTCTTAATTGGACAGCATGGAGTCCTATTACATATACTAATAAAGTAGTCTCAGGGACAATGCAACAATGGAGAGGGGGGTTAGATTTCACRTATAGGTTAGCAAGCGAATCTGACCCCCCCCTCCCTACCTGATCTCTCCAATAAAATGGATTCCAATTGAATGGTCTTTAGGTAATAATGTTAAATGGGTTAATACATTTTAAATAAACTCAAAACCTAAAAAAACAATTTTGAAATGCACTAACCTTGTTGTTKTTTTTTGTTAGCCAAAAGTCTAGGGTACCTGTTAGTGTCAGGCATCCTCATAGTCTACATACGTGCAACCATCAGACGCACCAATTCTGTCTGCCAGAGACATAAGATATCCGTATTGAATTATGTGCTGGGGAACTACTTGCATCCTAAGAACACTAAAGTACTGTGGCAATGGAAAGAACCTGCAGTCGTTGGACAAGCAATGACTTTTGTTATAGAGGTGAGAGGAATATTAATGGAATGTTTTGTGATATAAATGAAGAATGTATAGTAGTGATGAATGTGAATAAGTAAGTAAGCACTGCAAAGAATAATTACCTACAATATCATTGCCAAGTCAGGAGCAGAAAAAAAACTAAAAAGATATTTGTTGTGGGGCATGCTAGTAGAGTAAGAGCCAAAGTGTTCACTTCAGCCTGTCACGATGATGGATATAATACAAGGATGTTGAACACTGTATGATACAAGAGCTATAGATACTTACATAAAGTATTAGAGTGTTCACATCCAATTATCACAATAATGGATATAATACAGGGAYGTTGAACACTGTATAATACAAGGGAGATACTATACTTGTAAACATGTAACTTATGTATTGTACATTAATCCTAACAACTATCATAAGATAAGATAAGATTGTAAGATAACAACTTACAACTAACAACATACTGTAAAAGTCAAAAGAGCTTGTAGTATGTTTTACACTGCAAGCTAAGGACAGAAGTTGCTATATTTAGTCTGAACTGTGATAAAAACTTTCTTAAAGCTGCCCCTACGTCACAAGACATTGACTGTCAAGGATTTCAGTTTTACAGGTATAATTGCATTGCGCATCCAGTAGACAAGAACAGTGGTATAACTGTGGAAATCCTTCACAAGGGAAGTATGATAGCATATTCTTGTGAGTATGGAGGGCCTACACAGAATCGACAAGATAGTAATAAGATGAAAGTTACATTCACTGTGCGTCAGGCTGGCGAGTACACAATAGCTATACTCCTGGCTCATGAACATGTCAAGGGAAGCCCATTTAAGAAAGTGTTTCTTCCAGGTAGGTGATATAATTGAAAGTATTCATTATCATCACCATCACCATCATCA